TGCGTGTCCGGAGCCTGTGCTCCGGACACGCAGGCTCAGCGGCCATGGCTCATGGGCCCAGCCGCTCCACGGCATGTGGGATCTTCCCGGACCGGGGCACGAACCCGTGTCCCCTGCATTGGCAGGCGGACTCTCAACCACTGCGCCACCAGGGAAGCCCTATTTACTTTTACTTTTATTTATGTAAGTATTTAATGTACAGAAATTCTTAATTTTTATGTAATTCAATTGATGAATCTTACACTTCATAGTTTCTACTTCTTTTAATTTTTTTTAACTTTTTATTTTATGTTGGGGTATAGCCAGTTATCAATGTTGTGATGGTTCCAGGTGCCCAGCAAATGACTCAGCCATACATATACAGGTATTCATTCTCCCCCAAACTGCCCTCTCATCCAGGCTGCTACACAACATTGAGCAGAGTTACCTGTGCTCTAAAGTAGGTCCTTGTTGGTTATCCATTTTAAATATGACAGTGTGTGTATATGTTGATCCAAACTCCCTAACTATCCCTTCCCCCCACCCTTTCCACCTGGTAACCATAAGTTCTCTAAGTCTTTGAGTCTGTTTCTGGTTTGTAAATGAGTTCATTTGTATCATTTCTTTTTAGATTCCCCATATAAGTATAGTTTCTACTTCTAATGTGCAATTAGAACTTTTTTTTCCTTCTAATTCTTTGTTTTCTGCTAGTATTTATACAGTTTCATTTTTAACATTAACGTTTTCAATTTCCCTGGAATTCATTTGGGTATATGATGTAGTACAGGAATCTAACTTTTCCTGCCAAAATATCTACCAACCATTCCAAAACTGTTTAACAAATAATTTAACCTTTCCCTATTGATTAGAAAATGCCATCTTTATCACATTATGTATTTTTATATATACTTGGACTGGTTTCTGGATCTTCATTTGTGTCATCGGTGTCTATTTTGCTGCACTGGTACCAAGTTATTTTCATTAGTATATTAGTACTTGGATGTGGCCAGTATTCCCTCATTATACTTTGTTCTCAAAACATTTTGGGAATCTCTTGTTCATTAATACTTCTAGATGAACATAAAATTTGAATTGGAATCAAGTTCAAATTATATAAGTTAAGAAAAAAATGGCATTCTTACAATGTTCCATTAAAAACACCTAAAACTATGTTCTCTCTCTCCACACAGTATTATGTTTTATGTATAACTTAGAAGTTTTTGTCATCTAACTCCTTCATATTACTTAAATTTTTTTTTTTTTTTTTGTGGTATGCGGGCCTCTCACTGTTGTGGCCTCCCCCGTTGCGGAGCACAGGCTCTGGATGCACAGGCTCAGCGGCCATGGCTCACGGGCCCAGCCGCTCCGCGGCATGTGGGATCTTCCCGGACTGGGGCACGAACCCCTGTCCCCTGCATCGGCAGGCGGACTCTCAACCACTGTGCCACCCGGGAAGCCTGTACTTAATTTTTTTTTTTATTCTTCACTTAAATACTTATAAATGGAAGTTTTTCCTGATGATACTAACTAGTTATTGGTAAAAAAACTTATGACCTATGCAGCAGTCTTGCATTACCCTCTCCCTGTTAAATGTTTATTGGTTCTAAGAACTTCTGAGTTAATTCTCTTATATTTTCTGGGTGGACACACATATTATCTACAAATAATCATCGTTTATTGATACTTTTTGTCTTTCCAATATTTTAATCTCCTTTCTTTTTCTTATTTCATTTTCTAGAAAAGTAATAACAGTGAAATCTTATATAGCATCTATGTGCCAGGCAATATTCTCAAAATACTTTATATATATTAACTCATTTAATGCTCACAAAAATTCTAGAAGGTAGATAATACTATTATACCATCTTATAGTAGAGAAAATGGAGGCATGCCCAAGGTTACACAGCTAGTAAGTGGCAAAGCCAGGATTTTTAGAATGTCTAGAAAAATGTCAAATAATAGATTAATACTCATCCTCATTTCATTCTTAACTTTACTGAGAATTTCATGTACCAAGCTTATTTTATATTTTTCTTTCTTCTTTACCTTATGGATTGGAGGAGTTATAATACATTTAATAGTTACTGTAATAGATTTAATAATACGCAACAGGTTAACAATCCTGGGATAAAGCTTACTTTAGTACTGGATTGAATTTGCTACTATTTTATTCAGGAATTATTTAAAGAATACTCATAAATGAGATGTCAGTCATTTGAAAATAATAGTAATAAACCCATTATGTTAATATAGACAACGTACTGTTTATGAAAAATAACTCTATTTTCTAAAACCAAAAAATGGTGAGGAGAGTGGCAATATTTTTTATATTCTGTGACTCAAATCATCTGGTTTAGTAGAAGACAGCTGGGTTCCCACAGGTGTTTCTACACTGGTCTGCTGTGATGGTTTTTTGGCTGCGGTATAGGAAGGAGATCCAGCCAAGCACAGAAATGCAGTTGGAAAAGAGGGGGCCCTGAAGACTCTCTGAGAGGGTCCTCGGATCACACTCTGAACCACAGATGTAGACCATAGGGGATGGATTGTTTGTCTAAGGTTTCTGAGAAGACTAAGAAAATTTGTTTATTTTTCCCTGTCAAGGCCAAAAAAAAAAAATGCAGAAACATTTCATGGGGAAACAAAGGACTGAGTCACTGCACAAGTAAAAAAAACTTAATTTCTCCCAGTTTTGACACTGAAAATCTATGGTTGGGTAAGAAACAGGCCAGGATATGTTTTCTAGTAAATCACAACACAATATTTTATCATACTGCCAAGTCCTTCAACTTTGGGGTTCTATTTTTGTCTTGCAGGACACCAAATTTTTCCTTTTCTTCTTTTCCCTTTCACCATCCAATCGCCAATGGGCCCTCTTCCTTCTTTTTGGCCTTTTCCTCTCCCAGAAGATGTGTCTGGAAGACTGCCCCTTTACATCAGCTCGCCCTTTAAATAGGCTTGTCTCTATAACCCACGCACCTGGCCTTTATTTTGCGTTTCTTTAAACTGTGCTCTGGAAAGGGCACCAATCTCTAAATTCTGTGCCTGTGTATTTTTTTGGCATTTGGTCCTTTAAGAAGATACACTTAATTTGAATTCCTATCCCTGCAGTTTGTGATCTAATTTCCTTTTTTGTTTTAAAGTAATTTCCGATTTTGAGTGAATTTAATCTCTGCAGCGACTGCTCCAACTCACCCTCAGGCCCCTTCGCTAGTTCTTCCTCTGTCTCTGATTTTTTCTCTGTCTGCCTTTACTTGCCTCAGAGTGCCTGGCAGGATGGAGGTGGGCTGGTGTTTGCTTCCTTCCTTTCACTCACAGTTATTGTTCAGTTGGGGCATTCTGTCTGCAAGTCATATTGAGGGTGGGCATTCATAGATTTTCCTAAATGAGCAGTTATTTCATGTCGTGTGGGAAGACTTTTGGGAAGTGGCTAATTGCACAGCCTCCCTGGTCTGCAGTTACCCGACTTGCACCGCAACAAAGAGTAGCCCCCGCTCGCCGCAACTAGAGAAAGTCCGCACGCAGCAACGAAGACCCAACCCAGCCAAAAATAAATAAAATAAATTTATATATATAAAAAAAAGACATTACCAAATCTAAAAAAATGAGATCTGAGTGAGTTGTCCCTTACCTGAATGTTTCTTCTTGGAGCTGTTCTAACTGAGTCTGGAGCTGCAGATGCCTTCTTCCTGCTGGACTGTTAGGATCTTCTATAGAATCAGACTGATTCAGCCTTTCCATTAATACCTGATTCTCTGCCAACAGACTACTTTTCTCCTCTTGCAATGCTGCAACCTGTTAGAATATAGGAAGACAGTGGTTATTTTCTCCAATTACACTGGAATCCGCATAATCACTTGTGAATTACCATTACGAATTAAAGCCTGTTTTTAAAGAAGTACAAGCAACCTCCACTTAAAACACTGACATTATTTTGGAATATTGCACAGGCAGAGCAGTACGTAAGAGTAAGCAAGAATTCATTCTTTATTTTACATTTGAAAAGGTAATTCACCAAAGAAGATATGTAATGGCAACTAAGCACACAAAAAGATACTCATGATTAGTCATTGAGGAAATGCAAATTGAAACCACAATGTTATATCCATACACTTACTCCCACTAGAATGCCGTAAATCAGAGAGACTGGCTGTACCAAGTGTTGGTAAAGATGAAAACAGATGGGAGCTTCACACACCTGTTCAGCACGTGAAATGTTCCACAGGCTGTGAAAAACCGGTTCGCATTTTCCTAAAAAATTAAACATGCAACTACCACATAACCCAGACATTTTACACTTAGGTATTTATTTACCAAAGAGAACTAAAAGCATATGTCCACACAGAGATGTAGAATGTTTATAGCAGCTTCATTTGTAATACAGAAAAGCAAATGTTGACCAGTAGGTGAATGGATAAATAAATTGCAGCACATCCATACAACAGAATACTATTTGACAGTACAAAAGAATTAACTATTAATACCGATAACATGAATGAATCTCAAAATAATGAAAGAAGCCAGGCAGAAAAAGAGTACACTGTGTATGACTCCTTTCATATGCAATTCTAGAAGACACAAGCTAATCTACAGTGACAGAAAGCAGAGCCGGGACTGGAAGAGGATTACAGAGTCATGAGAACTCACTATCCTGATTGTGGTGATGGTTTCGCATGTTTATACATGTCAACATGCATCAGAACTGTACACTTCAAAGATGAGCAGTTTGTTGTATGTCAACTACATCTCAAAAAACTGTAAAAACAGAAGTCTCCTGCCATTTCTGATTCTCCCTCTCCACCCCCATTTTCTCTGGAACTTGTTCCAGTTGGGCTGTTGCCCCACCATCCTCAGGATCAGCCGACCTTGGCTTCTGTGGCTCCCAGGACACCTCCCTCTCCTGGTCTGTGTGCCTCCTCTTTACTCCAGTCAAGCCCTCTTCACCTCCCTGCCTCTGGCACATGCATGGCTTTTCCTTTCTAAATACATTGATGGCTTCCAGCTTCTGGGCTGTAAACATCATTTATCCACTGACAGCTCGCATGTTTCTATTTCCAGCCTGGAACCCCGCACTGGGTATCACGTCCACCTGGATGTTCACCAGGCCTCTGAATTTAACCTGTCCAGGTGGGACTTTCATTCCCCCACACCCCACCCTGCCCTCCCACTGTCTTCCCCATCTCAGCGATGCTAACTCTGTCCTTCCACTTGCTCTGGCAGGATCTGTCCCATCTCGTCCTCACACCCACGCCCACTCTTTCAGCAAACATCAGCGGCTCTGCCTTCAGACAGATTTCAACCACTTCTAACCGCCCCTCAATTCTGATTTAAGCCAACCTAATTTTTTGCCTGATTATTGCGAAGGCCTCTGAATTAGTCTCCTTGAGTTGGCCCTCACCACCCAGCAGCCACTATAATCCATTAAAATAAAACTCGGATCACAGGACGTCTTTGCTCACAAGCCTCCAACGGCTTCCCATTTATTTACTCAGCCTGTACCAAGGCCTGTCAGGCCTCTGCAGACGGACTCCTCTCCCCAGGCTTCACTCCTGCTGCCCTCACCTTCGGGCTCCCGGAGACACCAGCTGCCCCGCGTCAGGCCTGTGCGCTGAGCCTAGATGAGCCTCGCAGGAAGCCTGGGAGGCCACTTATCCACCCTCTAGGATTTACTAACTTGCTGCCTCCCCGGAGGCCTTTGCTGACAACCCAGTCAGAACTAGTTCCTCCCACCCCGTGCCCCCGCCCCCCCGAGTCCCCCTTTCTCTAGAATACTTATCAGCAGCACACAACAGACCGTATTCTTATCCTGTTCACTGTCTGTCTTCTTTATCGCATGCAAGCACCTTGGAGGCAGGGATGTTTTATCCATTTCCGTGTTTTCCCCTATCTTCACTGTATCGACAGCAGCTACAACAGTGGATGGTCTGGAGTGGGTGCTCAATGTTTGCTGAATAAATGAATGAGTCTGAAATGCCAGCTCTCTAACTTGTCAGATTTCCATAAACGCACGAGTCTTTTCTCAGAGTAGAGTAGTAGCTCAATTCCGTGCCACTGGTCTATTTCATTCATTTCTGCTCTTTCATTCTTTTTAAAATAAATATTTAAGGCTTTAAAATTTAAAAGCTCATTTCTTTGTTAATAATTTCTATCTTAAATTGCACTTTGGTCAGAAAGCATGATCTAAAGACACAGATTCTTTGAATTCTATTGGGAATTGCTTTATAGCCTGGTATGTGGTCGATTTATATGAAGGCTGAGTACATAATGGAACACCTTAATACCAGACTCATCAGACTAGCAAATGTTGCTACAGTAATTTAATTCAATATATTTGGCAGAGATCCTTTTCACATACACAGAAAAAGGTGTCAACTACAAACTGGCACTTGCCATCTGCCTCGACAAGGATTAAATCGTGAGCTGCTGCAGCCGCTGACCTGTGACGCCCCCTGAAAGCAGTTCAGGAAGAGGTCAGGAACCAGGCCCCCCGCGCTCTGGGAAAACTGGCAGAACAGGCCTTCAGATAGTTAGATATTTTCAGGAGGAGATTTTATGAGCCCAATTCTTGCATCTCCTCATATCTAGAAAAGCACTAAAATCATCAACGGTGACAACTGCTCCTCGTGACTGGCAGCCACCTTCTACCAGAACGTGTGCTTCACTGCATGCACCCTCTTCTCCTAAATCACATACATACTGACCTCCATCCCACCATTTTGGAGCAGTTCCTCAGAGCTGAGATGCTGTCTCCTGGGCTATTGTCCTCATTTTGCCCCAAAGAAACCTTAACTCACAACTCTCACGTTGTGCATTTTTTTTAGTCAACAAGGAGAATAATTAAAAATAATACATAAACACAATTTAAGGAAAAAAAGCAAATAAAGCAAAGGGGCTTATAATGGAAAGCTACAGTTTCCCATTGAGTTTTTCTACTTCCAAGAGACAACTAGGTTTTTTTTTTTTTTTTTGCGGTACGCGGGCCTCTCACTGCTGTGGCCTCTCCCGTTGCGGAGCACAGGCTCCGGACGTGTAGGCTCAGTGGCCATGGCTCAAGGGCCCAGCCGCTCCGCAGCATGTGGGATCCTCCCGGACCGGGGCACGAACCCGTGTCCCCTGCATCGGCAGGCGGACTCTCAACCACTGCACCACCAGGGAAGCCTGACAACTAGTTTTAATGTTCCTAATTTTATTGTTTTTGGCTGTGACTTGACATCTCTCAATAACATGTTATACCCACTATTTCTTGATTTATCAACCTTACACATTATCTAGTGACTTGTCTCCTCTGACATGTGAAATTAGAGCCACTTGCAGCATCCCCCGTTTCCACAAATAGTTATGGCACTATTCCTGCTCCTTTCACTGGCCACCTCTGCAATTTTGAACAACTACTCATTGACTTGTTTCACTCCATCACGTGCCCACTCATTAGCTCACTCAGATACTCATCGTGGGTCTACCATGTGCTAGGCACTGCTGCAATTTTCCAGGTGCAAGGGATACCACAATGAAAAACGCAGAGACAGTACTTATTCTTATGTGTTACATATTCTAAACAAATCATCATAGTAAATATATAAACAAGGACAAATCATATTAAGCAAGAAAGTAAACTAATAAATACATGCAAGACCTAGAGTGAAAGTGCTCTGCAGAGGGTTAAAGCAAAACTAAGAGGAGGGGCTTCCCTGGTGGCGCAGTGGTTGGGAATCCGCCTGCCAATGCAGGGTACACGGCTTCGACCCCTGGTCTGGGAAGATCCCACATATCGCGGAGCAACTAAGCCCGTGAGCCACAACTACTGAGCCTGCGCTCCGCAACGGGAGAGGCTGCGACAGTGAGAGGCCCGCGCACCACGATGAAGAGTGGCCCCCGCTCGCTGCAACTGAAGAAAGCCCTTGCACAGAAATGAAGACCCAACACAGCTATAAATAAATAAATAAATAAATTTATTTTAAAAAAAAGACTAAGAGGAGAGGCTGGAGGACGACTGTAGGCTGGTGACCGAGGAACTTCCCAGGGAGGCTGAGGTTAGTACTGGGCACACCTAAGTGCCCAGTGAATATTTCATGACAGATAAACCACGTGATTTGGAGCTGAGACTGGATGGCGAGAAGCGGCCGGCCGTGTACTGCCTGTGCTCCCTCATGGTGAGACGAGAACACGGGGGGCCCCACCGGGCCCTCACTGCCCTGCCTCACCCTGCTTCTCCTGCTCACCTCCAGCACCCGCATCTTTACTTTCATAACACTGCTTCTCCACAGGCAGGGCTAGATGCTGAAGACCAGTGACGTTCACATCGCTGCCTCAGAGGTCACATCAGCACGCCTGTGTTACGACTGCTTTCTGCAGGGCTGAGTGTGTCACGGCGCTGCCACCAATCTCCTCATAACCTCTCTGCAGCCCCGCCACTCGCTCTGCGATCTGTTCACACCAGAGACTGGTAAACTCTTCTGTAAGGAATAGGGCAGTGAACAGCTGCCTTTCAGAGCCACAGGTCTCGTGGCGAGTCCTCAACCCTGTCTCTGCAGTGTGAAAGCACCAGAGACAGCACATCAAGGAACAAGCCTGCCTGCGCTACCACTTTACTCATGAGACAGAGGGCCGGCTGCAGTCTGCCAATCCCAGTGTACAACTTGAATGTTACACTGTCAAAGAGACTATTTATATCCTGCTCATAAAAACAACCAACTCTTATTTATCATTATTGTAAAATACTGCATTTGTGTATAGCTGAATTTTAGAATCTGAAAAGCAATTAACAGCACTTAACCTTATGACTAGGTAAATATTATTTACTACATAACCCAGAAAGTGTGCTCTGATCACATTTCTTCCTATCTGCATCCAAAGCAATGACCAACTCTTACGCCTTTCAAGGTAAAATGCTTCTAGTATAAAATATCACGAACCCTGTGTACCTACTACCCAGCTTTAACAAGTATCAAAACATGGCCAATTATGCACCTATCTGGACTTCCATCCACTCCCCCCTCCTCCCTGATTTTGAGGTAAATCCCAGACAAACAATTTTATTTCTTAATTTTCTGTCTTTTAATTTAGGAGAGATTTCAACTTTATTTTTAACTATTCTATTGAATTTTTTTATTTTGACAATTCTATTTTTAGTGTTTCTTGATCTCTGATTTTTTCTTTTTAAAATAGCATCTTGTCCTTTTTTTTTTTTTTTTTTTTTTTTTTTTTTTGTGGTATAAGGGCCCCTCACCGCGGAGCACAGGCTCCGGACGTGCAGGCTCAGTGCCCCGGTCCGGGAGGATCCCACATGCCGTGGAGCGGCTGGGCCCGTGAGCCATGGCCGCTGAGCCTGCGCGTCCGGAGCCTGTGCTCCGCAACGGGAGAGGCCACAACGGTGAGAGGCCCGCGTACTGCAAAAAAAAAAACAAAAACAAAATAAAAAGAAAAATCTCTTCTACTACGCCAATTTCTCCACTTCCTCTAGGGCTAGTTTCCTGTTTATCTTGACCCTTCTCTTTTTTGTTACACAGATTTTCCTCACATGTAAGAATCGGTTTTCTGTAAATTAGGGAATCCAGAAAGGTCAAAATGAAAAGGGCCTTACCCTGCAATACTAATACTCGGTCTAACCTCCTGTACTTCTGTTTGCTTAACTTCTTTAGAAGAGAACCCTCCGATTGGGAAACCAGCTACAGGTCAGGGTATCCGCAGTGGGTGACGGGCAATGGGGCTGAGCTCTCCTATAGAAGACCCCGTTACACCTTGCTGCAGCCTTCCACCAAGCATGGGGGCTTCTCTGGGGTTCAGCTACAGCAGCTCCCTCCCCCTTTATAGGTGTTTTTGGCGCTGCATTCTTTACTCCTTTTAGGCCGTTTGGCACTTTATCCAACTGCATTTTGGCCTTCTGAGGTTGATGATGAGCAGTGGTGTGCCGTTGCTGGCTATAAGCAAGCCGCTTGCTAAATATTCGGGAGTCTGGTGAGCCGACTGTTAAACCATTAACAACCTGGAATTGGTCGCTGTGACAGTGTTTATACTGTGGAAATTGGAAAACGCTACAAATCAGGGCTTTTAAAAATCTCCCCCAGTCCTCCTGAGAGCCGATCTCTCTCCTCTTTCTCTTCTTTTCTCGTGGGCTTATCCCATTTTAAATTCATTTATTATGAATTTGATGGGGCTGTGAGAAGGAAGGAAAACTCTGACCTTTGTTCAGTCTGCACTCTTTTTCCAGGCTGTTTCCTTTTTCTTCTCAAACTAGGGCTGTGTTACAGCCAAACTGTACCGCACGTGGGACCCAGGGCACATGGTGGGACGCAGAGCCGTGCTGCAAACAGGTGGTGTAAAACCAGATCTCTTACCTGCAAATCCAACTCATGGCACCTTTGAGCAATTTCTTCCTTGGCCGACAAAGCTTCATTCAGTTCCTCTGAAGTTTTCTTCAGCTGGGTAGAAGCAAAGAGCTACAGTGAACATTGCAATATGACGTGGCAACAACTAATGATCGCACATGTACAATACAAAACTAAAACGCTTCCCCCTGTTCTTTCTGTGGGGCAGGGAGAAATCAAGAACCCTTCTGCACGAGTCAAAAGAAGGGTTTCTTCCAACTGCAGACATCTTTTAGTCCTGAGTCTTGTCTCTTCTGTACTTGGAAATTGGTTCTTTCCTCATATCAAGTTTTCTTATACATCTCCTAGGGCTACTTGGTTCTTGGTAATGTTGATTCTGTAATAACTAAGAAATCTCACCTTGGTAAAATATATATGTGCTAGAGGAACAGGGGTTCAATTGTTAAAATAAATAGCTAATGTATTTCAACACAATTGTTGTATGGTTTAAAAAATATTTATTCTCTCAGTACTTAGCAGTCAGGATATACGACCAGAGAGATAGGCAGCTGGATTGGTCTTGGATTGAGATTTTGCCCAAGAGAAGGTATTAAGGTAAGGGAATCGATTATATTGACAAAGTCATCACAATAATAGACCATGAAGTCTAGGCCAGAAAGAGAAGGTAACTGATTAAACAGATGATGTACTGCGTAACTTAAAGTACGGAGTGGGGAGATTTCCAAAAATAAGATGACGATGTTGGCAGAAGAAAGAGGAGTAGGCTTTAGGCAGGCAGAACAGTAATGTTCACCGTAGAGTCTAAGCAAAGTGAGGAAGAACGAACGTAAGATGATGGGCTGTCAGTGAAAACCAGACAGTTCACTTCTTCACAAAGATGAAGGGTAGAGGAGACTTCTTCAATTGAAGAATAACATGAAATAAAAGGTAAGATATCTTTTGTATTATAAATAAATCACAGGATTAAATGCATGCCATTTTCCAGGACTGCATCTATTGTGTTAAACGTGGCATACAGAAAGATATCACTAATGGAAAAAGAAAACATGACTAGAAAACATGAATTATAGTAAATTAAAGAGGTTAATTTATTTTAACCATTCATTAAAACATGAATTATAGTAAACTAAAGAGGTTAATTTATTTTAAAGTGGGTTGTACAATAATATGTTAATTACAAATTACAAATTTAATTACAAGTGTGTAATATCCATTAGTAAAGTGGCTTACGTTCTTGAATTTTAGGTAAAAAATAAAGAATTATACCAATATATTTCATAAGCAATTTCAACTGAAACATCCTTTTCATTAATATCTAAAGTTCACCCTTTAATCTCTGCATGGATAAAAACAATGCAAGATCAGGTACCTGGCGATCAAGGTCAACATAGGCATCATTCCCAGCAGAGACAGGAGACTCTTTACTCATCAGCTGAAATTAAGATTTAAATGATTACAACTACGAGAGAAAAGTGACATTCTATATCATACACTTACAGCAACAAACATGAACACCCAGCTGCCATAGAATTATAAAAATTACAATGAAATCACAAATGTAAAAGGAACATTTTCCTATACATTGAAGCTCTTCAGCCTGGAGCTTTGTTTTGCTGCAGGATTAGCCTTCACTTAAAATCACACGTGTAATTCTGGTATGCATTTTCACAGCAGGGCCAGTCATGAGACTCAAGTATTACTTATTCTTACCACTAAAAAGACAAGTCTTTAAGTTAAAATGTGGCTAAATATTTAAAATATTGACTTTTCAGTAAGAAAAATAGTAACACTAAGTAACTATTTCTGAAGAATAAACGTGGGTCACATCAATATCAGCCCAAATTAACCGCTAATGTTCAGTGATGACACGCACATACACACGAATCTAGGTCTCAGCCTCTCTCACCCTTGTGTTGCACACAGAGAAGATCCAGAGGGTGTGTGAGGGTTTGGGGAGAAGGGATAAAATTCTGACTGTGACAAATGTCAGGGGCAGACTCAAATGTCCCAATTTTCTCCTGTTTCCTTCTTATGCTCTGTCTGAAGGACAAAAGAGAGGGACAATTAGAAACGTGGGGACAGACTATTGAGAGATCTTGTAATTTCAGCCTTCATCCCACTCTCTAAAGAACTGAAATGTTATGCTCAGCTGTACCTTCTTCTCTGCATCAGTGGTTCTCAACACTGATTGAGAAGTCCCCAAACCAACAACACCAAACCAACAACACCAGCATTGCCTAGGAACTTGTCAGAAATGCAAATTCTTGGGTCCCTGCCCAGATTTACTGAATCAGAGACTCTGGGGTTAGCGCCCAGCACCACACACTGAAGTTTGAGAACCACTGCTCTATATTAATGTCATGAGAAGAGTGAAGGTCCCTTAGCATAATTAAGAGGGAAAAAAATCTCAGAAAGAGTAAAAGAATACTGGCTTCAATTTTTATGCTTTTATTGTAAGAATGTTAATAAAAAGATGTTCAAAAGATTTTTCTTCCAATTAAAAAAATAACACCCAATGTAGAGAAGATAAAATTCAGAAAAAGTACAAAGAGAAAACACCCATTATTCTACCATCCAGAAATAACCACGTCTGTAATTTTGAACTATTCAAGAAGCTACCTGTGCCATGGGTTTCACACAGCTCAAGTAAAAAAGACAAATACAGTGTCACGTGATGAGGGCTGTGACAGACACTCAGAGAGGAAGGATCTAATTCGGGGGGTGCGGGGGGGGTAGAAGGGAGTACAAGTATTTTCTTCCAGTCCCCATTGTTACATGTTAGTTCTTATCATAACACAGTAGCACCTGTGAATAAAACCCCCTGAACACAGCCTCCTCCCAGTCAATCCCAGCTAGCATGTCCACCTCGACGAGGTTTCCAGGTCCTATGCCTCCCGACTTCCTCCCTGGTTTTCACTGACAGCCCATCATCTTACGTTCATTCTTCTTCACTTTGCTTAGACTCCACGGTGAACATTACTGTTCTGCCTGCCTAAAGCCTACTCCTCTTTCTTCTGCCAACATCGTCATCTTATTTTTGGAAATCTCCCCACTCCGTACTTTAAGTTACGCAGTACATCATCTGTTTAATCAGTTACCTTCTCTTTCTGGCCTAGACTTCATGGTCTATTATTGTGATGACTTTGTCAATATAATCGATTCCCTTACCTTAATACCTTCTCTTGGGCAAAATCTCAATCCAAGACCAATCCAGCTGCCTATCTCTCTGGCCATATATCCTGACTGCTAAGTACTGAGAGAATAAATATTTTTTAAACCATAAAACATAATATATAGTTTCCAGTCTCAGCTCGGCCTTCAAAGTTGCCCCCAAAGTACAGCTATGCTTCCCCAATAAGCAGTCTCTTTGTTCCCTTTAGAGATTATTCCAAACCTTTCCTACTTCTCAAACCTCACCAACTCCCCACTATTCTTATCAGAAAACCTTGCCTCCAGATAAGAAATTCCCCAATTTCCTGCACCTTAACCTGCAAAATTGGCAGCATTCATACCATCCTTTCCTTCTTCAATCTTGTCGTAATACACTCTCAACCCTGTCTCTTCCCAGCTTCTCAGAGACCCTGTACTAGTTATCATCCTCTCTCTTGTTATCTCAACCTCTATCTTGCTCTTTCCTGTGGCTTCTTCCTATTAGCATTTAAAAAATTAAAAGACTATCATTTACTTGATTACCAATCACATTTCTCCAAAGAAGATAATATACAAATGCCCAACAAACATATGAAAAGATGCTCAACATCATTAGTCTTTAGGGAAATACAAATAAGCCACAATTAGAAAACACTTCACATCCACTAGGATGGCTAATATCAAGAAGATGGACAATAACAAGGGTTGACAATGAGGGAGAGAAATTAGAATTCTTAGCACATTGCTGGTGGGAATGTAAAATGGTGCAGCACCGGTGGAAAACACACCTGTGCTGGCACTTCCTCAAAAAGTTAAACACAGAATTATCATGTGACCCAGAAATTCAATTTCTGGGTATATACCCAAAAGAATTAAAAACAGGTGCTCGGACTTCCCTGGTGGTGCAGTGGTTAAGAATCCACCTGCCAATGCAGGGGACATGGGTTCGAGCCCTGGTCCGGGAAGATCCCACGTGCCGCAGAGCAACTAAACCCATGTGCCACAACTACTGAGCCCACGTGCCACAACTACGGAAGCTGCTCACCTAGAGCCTGTGCTCCGCAACAAGAGAAGCCACCGCAATGAGAAGCTGGAGCACCACAACGAAGAGTAACCCCTGCTCACCGCAACTAGAGAAAGCCCACGTGCAGCAACAAAGACCCAACACAGCCAAAAATATATAAATAAACTTATTAAAAAAATAAAAAACAGGTGTTCAAAACAACCCCGTACACTCAGGTTCACAGCAGCACTACTCGCAATACCGAAAAGGTGGAAACAACTCAAACGTCCATCAAATGATGAATGGATAAACAAAATGTGGCACACCCACACCATGGAATATCATTCAGCCACGAAAAGGAACTAAATATTGATACATGCTACAAAATAATCTTGAAAATGGTAAATTTTATGTTATGTGTATTTTACCACAACAGAAAAAAAAAATCAAAGTCAGCTGCACCTGAATAAAGACATACAGACAATCATCTTACAAAAGCCCTTCTGCAATTCCATAGTTTTATCCAGCCACCCTGTCCTCCTCCACAGCCCAATCAGTCACCAAGCCTGTTAAATAAAGCTCGGACAAAGTTCAAATCTGTCCACTTCTCTCCACCCAGCCGCCATAACCTAGTTCAGGCTTCCATCGTCCCTCACCAGATAATTACTAAGGTCTCAACTGCTCTCCTTTTTTCTAGCCTTGTTTTCCTCCGATCCATTCTTCTCACTGCCTGGATTTTCTCAAATACAGACTTCAGTGTATTTTCTCCTTAAAAAGCAATTCACTGGTTTCCAAAATTCCAGCTCTTTCCACAAAGCTGCTCGGCATCCTACTGGCCTTAACGGTTCTTGCCTTGCCTCCAGCACCCACACCTCCCGCGCCTGCTGAGGCTTCTTCCGACACTTCCCCGCGCCACGCGGCTGCCTCCTGGACCGCAAGTGTGTGCCCTTCCTGACCTCTTCTCCTCCTCCAGTGCTTAGACGAGACGCCGCATTCTCTGAGAACCCTTCCCCAACATCCCCACGCTGAGGGACACACTCCTTTGAGGTCCTACTATCTTTTCCCCGTCACGGCACTTTTCATTCTGAATGCTTTGGATGTATTCGAATTGCTCGTTTGGCCATTCTTCCCTTTAGATCACACTTTGTGAGACAAGAGGCCATGTCTATCTTTTCCATAGTTGTATCCTGAAGGCCTCCTATAGCTCCCACTGCATTCTAGGTGCTCGATAAGTATTTACTAAATAAACAAAATGAATATGCACGTAAAATGTACTGCGTTAGTGAGTACCGGCACCATCAGCACAGAGTAGGTGTAGATAAACGCTTGCCAGTATGATTATCACCATCCATCTCTCTATTTCAGATTTCCTCAGAATAAATTCCTAAAAGTGAAATTACAGGGTCAATGACAGTAAGACAGAACAGTTAGTGGCCCCCTTATTGTTTTTCCTGTCTTTGCTTAGTAACAGAATCCTCAAATTTTGGCTGGGTCCATGACCACCTGGAAAAAAGATCACATTCCCCAGCTTCCCTGTGTGGCAATGTGAGTAACAGCTGGATAACAGGAGTGAGAATTCCTGGAAGTTTACTAAGAGGAAGTGGAGAACCTTCCTTCAGCCCTGCCTGCTGGCCGGAATGTGAATGTGAGGGCTGGAAGCCAAAGAGCCACGGCTGACCACGGGGTAGGAATCACATATTAGGGATGGCAGACAACAAGATGCAAGAAAGCTGTGTCCCTGATGCCTACGGAGCCAACCCATGACTACTTGAGAGCAAATTAAACTCATATCTTGCTTGGCTGACCATCATTTTGTTAGTTTACCCTGCTACCATCAGCACTGACTGACAAACGGATCCTCTCCTAAAAGCTCTGCTTTGTTGAAATGTCCTGTATGACAGAGAATTTGGCTGATCCTTTGCCCCCAGTGACTGGGAGGCAGCTGCTAAATCTCTGGGATTTCTCTGCTGAGTGTCTTTGTTATTCATGGTGGGTCCCTAGATAGTTTAAGCTAGGAGATGACTCTGGTTGGGGGCTGGTGACGCCAAGAAAACCAACCGCATATGGGAGGGTTGGGGCTTTGAGCCACTTGATACCAGCCTGGCCTCTGGGGAGGAGACAGGGGCTGGAAATTTAGTTCAACCTTGTGGCCAATGATCCAACCAATCACACCTATAAAATGAAACCCCAACAAAATGCTGGACATGAAAGCTCGGGTGAGCTTCCCCGGTTGGCAGCTCTCTCTGTGTGTTGTCACACAGTAATGTGCTGGGAGGGTGACATGTCTTGATTCCACGGGGAGGGGACAACAGAGACTGAGTTTGGGACCCTCCCAGACCTCCATTTCGGGGGGTGGGGGGTTGGTTCTGATTCGTATCCTTTTGCTGTAATAAACCGTCACTGTTACTGAGTTCTATGAGTCATTCCAGCAAATAATCAAATCTGAGGAGGTAGTGGGAACTGCTGGATTCATAGTCAGTTGGTCGGATTTAAAAGGAAATGCTTCATAGCTCAGGGAGATCAGCTCGGTGCTTTGTGACCACCTGCGGGGGGGATAGGAAGCGGGGGTGGGAGGGAGACAAGAGGGAGGAGATATGGGGATACATGTATACATAGAGCTGATTCACTTTGTTATACAGCAGAAACTAACACAGCAATGTAAAGCAATTATATTCCAATAAAGATGTTTAAAAAAATTTTTTAAATAAAAAATTAAAAAAAGTAAAATAGGGCTTCCCTGGTGGCGCAGTGGTTGAGAGTCCACCTGCTGATGCAGGGGACGCAGGTTCGTGTCCCGGTCCAGGAAGATCCCACATGTCGCGGAGCGGCTAGGCCCGTGAGCCATGGCCACTGAGCCTGCGCTCCGCAACGGGAGAGGCCACAGCGGTGAGAGGCCCGCGTACCGCAAAAAAAAAAAAAAAAAAAAAAGTAAAATAAAAAAGGAAACACTTTATCTTAATTTGCATTTAGCATTTTTCATGTTTGTCTGCTGCATTTTTTTTCTGTTAGTTACTTACATTCTATACTATTTTAGTTCCCTTAAAGGTTTCTTCCATTACTTCTTTGATTAAAAAATTCTCCCATCTTAAGATCACTTTCACTCTTATAGTTCTATGTCTGACACCTGATGGAGTTCAGGACATGCTACTCCCAAATATGGCAGCTTGGCATGTTGAATGTTTCAAGCTGAAGGAATTTGAGAAACAACAGGGACAGGAAAGATTTTCTGACCTTCCTCTGAAGCAGGTCTTAAGTCCCTCACGTGAGAGGCGCCCTCCCTATGCTCAGAGGAAAGGAGTATCCGTATCTCCAAAGTCAGAGGGATGCAGAAGGAATCTGAACAAACAGGACTTGCCGTTTTTCGCCCTATCACATTTTTCCACGAGACTTTCCACTCTTCACCAAATCCAGCATCAAAACACTCAGGTTGAAACACCTCTTTGGGCTTCCCTGGTGGCACAGTGGTTGAGAATCCGCCTGCCAATGCAGGGGACACGGGTTTGATTCCTGGTCCAGGAAGATCCCACATGCCGCGGAGCAACTAAGCCCATGCGCCACAACTACCGACCCTGCGCTCTAGAGCCCGCGAGCCACAACTACTGAGCCCGCGTGCCGCAACTACTGAAGCCCACGCACCTAGACCCCGTGCTCCGCAACAAGAGAAGCCACCGCAATAAGAAGCCCGTGCACTACAAGGAAGAGTAGCCCCCGCTCGCCGCAACTAGAGAAAGCCCACGCGCAGCAACAAGGGCCCAACACGGCCAAAAATAAATAAATAAAATAATTTTTTAAAAAAAGAAACACTTCTTTGATCTTCATTTCTTTATGAAGCCTCCTGTGTTGTGTAAAACTTAAATACATTTGTATGCTCTTCTATTGTTAATCTGTTTTTTGTTTGTTTGTTTTTAACAGAGGCTCCAGCTAAAAACTTGAAAGGGTAGAGGAAAAAAACATTTTTCCCCTCCTACAGTTTCAAATAAATATTCATCTAGAAATTGCCTTGAGTCTGGCTGGAGTTGAAGACCCATTTCCTTCCAAATAAGAAACCAATACTTAAGTGTGAGGCAGACTGCTGGTTTAAGATAGATATTATTCATAATGGCTTTAGGAATTAGTCTGCTATTCCTAATTCATTAGAGCATTTAAAAAAATTAGGAATTGTTACGGAATATCTATAATTCCAAGACAAACATTTAACGTTTAAATAAAAATGAGACAAGCTATAGCATAAGTGCGAAGAAAAAAATTCTCAAAAAATGAGTAGGAGAATCTCTTTTTAAAATTTCTACTTCAATTATTTAAACTCATGTTTGCTCCTTTAACTTCTCACAAACTGTAAGCACAAAGGTCCAACATACCTCCTGGATGGCTGTCATGACAACGTGTTGCACTGATTCCTCCATCATCATGATGGCTTGGATGTACTCTGAAAGTAAGAACAACCTGGAATGTCAGTGTTCAAGTTATAGACAATCAAGGGAGTAAAGGCTAACACTTCATGAATTCTGAAAAGAAGTTTCCTGTGTTTTGATTCTTCCTCGGAATTCCTCGTATATGGTTAAATACATGTGTCATAGGTAAAGTAAAGGCTGAAAATCACATTATTTATCCGTCCTTAAAAATAACTGCCCCCCCATAAAGTTGAGGCTACAGCTAAAGGTCACAGGAATGGAGGATCTCGGGAATGTAAAACAATGAAACGGTACAGCCTAAGGCCAGAATGGAAAGGACTCTGTATTACTGTTCCTAAAATCTAAAAATCTTTCACATTATTCTTTGCTACATGTTATAAAACTTTGATGTCTGTGTTTTATACTTATGTGACATCAAAGTATTGAATTGTGTATAATTTCTACCTTAATATTTTCTACAATTAAAAAAAAGAAACTTAGGGATACTGAGACCTGCTCAGGACAAAGAATTAAGGTGAATTTAAGATAGAGACTGACGCTATAGTTAAACACTGTGTAACCCTGGGCTTTAAAATAATGACCCAAATCTCTAATAAGCTAAAGCATCAATTTCATCAACCTTATCCTCACCAATGCCGAAAAAGAGAAGGCTCCCTTAGCCGTTCATAGTGACAAAGTTGAAAAAAAAAAATTCTGCCTTCTAAATAAAGCCCTGGAAGTAGTTTTCATTATTTTCAAATCCAATAATAGATGAAAAAACAGGTATTAAGCATAAAAAATCAATAGGCCAGCTAGATTTCAACAAATACGTAAATATATTTTAACAAGAAACATTTTTTTTGAATTTTTTTTATACAGCAGGTTCTTATTAGTCATCCATTTTATACACATTAGTGTATACATGTCAATCCCTATCTCCCAATTTATCGCTCCCCCGTCCCCACCCAATAAGAAACATTTTAAAACATAAAGTCATTAGGAAATTATAGCCTCAACCTGCCTCTCTCCACTCTATACCCAAAAAAACACCAAAAAAAATTGTCTCAGCACTCTAATATTATATGAAAGAGTCTTACTGTGCAATCGTTACAGTGACCTACTGGCAAGAAACTCATGGATTTGGCATGCCAAACTGTAGTCCTTTGCTTGACAGGTAACTTGTTTAAAAACAAAAAAAGAATTTTGACAGCACTATTAAATTACGACATTCTGGTTGTTAATGCCAAAGCTTTTAGTTAAACAAAGCATGTTTTTAAGGAAGTACTGTCGTAAGGATGCTTGTACCCAATCAATGATGCATATGCAAGTATACACAACACACTTAAACCACTGGCATCGTTCTTAGGCCCAAAGTAGGAATACTGTGCATCATAACTTAACCACTTTCCGGTTTAAAAAAAAAAAAGAATCCCTTTAGTCTGAGCTGAACTTTTTGTTTGTTTGGTTTGTTAGTGAGGAGCGTCCTACGAGCGTTGGGTACAAGACACCAAGCACAGAATTCCCAGGCTACAGAGCAGCTGGCACAGCCGGGATCGGAATGAAAGACTGTGAACATGGTGGGGAGAGGCAGTGGCCCAGTCATGGGAGGAAGACGGACGACAGCCCCGTGGGTGTGAAGGGTGTGACGGGGGACAGGGGGCGGAGGTTAGTCAGGTGTGAGAGGGGAAGCGTTAGTTAAGAAGCGGTGTTGCCACGTCAAGGCCCTTCCCCGCGAACACCGTAAAATGCTGGATGATAAAATGATGATGAGAACCACGTTAATGTACTAGTTTTGAAAAGTTAAAAAAAAAAAGTTAAATCTTAAAAGTCCAAAATCCAAGTACGTATGATTACTGGCAGATCCAGGAGGCAGTGGAGAATGAGCTAGGCTACGCCAGGGAGTCTGTCCTGCAAAATGAGCGTCTAGGTCCAAAGCCTACAGCTCAGCTCAGTACAAAGAGCATTTAGTTCTAATGTGGGAGACACGTGTTTTTGTCCCCGCTAGCCTCTCACGAGCAAGAGATCTTGGGCAAGTCAAACAATACTCAGGAGTCTCAGTTTCCCAATTTGTAAAAAGTGCTGTTTGTTCTGTTAACCAGGCAGGAGGGAGAACTCGGTAAATATTATTTTTAGTGCGTTTTTACTGCTAATCTCTGCTTTTCCAAATACACCACCACTTACGTGCCCCAATTTGACAAGTCAGATAGCCAAGAGAAATGCACGCTGAGCCAACGCCTCACTTCTAGGAACTGAGAAACAGCCTCTAAACACAGAGCCCTTGTGTCTGCGGTGCGCTACGGGTTGCGAAGCAAACACACACACCGTTTCACCGACTCCTCACGACGACCAGCTGTCGTGCCCCCCCTCTGCAGACGAGGAAACAGGCCGGGCCCCCAGGGCAGTGACAGGTAACACTCGGCAACTCAGAAGTGCATTTGATCCAAGCTCTCTGCTGTGTTCCTGAGACCAGAGCATGCCCTCTGGACAGTGAGAGGTTAAAATCCTGCTCAAATTTTTCATCATTTATGTAATTTTGAGGGAAAACCTCAAGCCAGGTGTTACAGAGAACACTTGGTCTGTGTGAGAAGCTCAACAAATATTTTGATTGTCTTCCTATAGAACGACCGGTATAGGTAACATCCTTGCCTTCTCCTATTCACACCCTGTAATAAATAATTAGCCAACTCTTAACAGCTATACATCTCCAAGAGCTGATGAATCTCCTAACAGAATAAATACAAAAGAAATTCTTATCTGAATTCAATGAACTACATTAAATAATTTTTCATCTGCCTTTTAAAGCCAAGCGTTCTACTTAGAAATGCCCACCCCACTCAACTGCAAGTTCCGTGAGGGCAGGTACTATATTGGTTTTGTCTGACACTGTGTTCCAAGCCCCGGCATGATGCATGAATTCAGTAAATGTTTATGAAGTAAACCCTTTGCACTTGCAATCTAAAATATCGAACTTTACACTCCTATAGCTGAATTGACTATTATTAATTAATTATTAATTAATTTGGCTGGACCTTGTCCAGTTAACAGTAAATTTCATTACATTCAGTGTAGTTAAAAATAATCTACTCAAAGAATTATGCAGTCTTGCAGAAAGGGGAAGAACATCATCATAATCAAATTTATTCTAACCTGTAAAACCTTTTCAGCTTGAAAACAGATTACCAGCAACATCACAGAAAATGGCATACTTTGTGGGTGGCCTTAAGATGTTGTTGTTTGTACATGTGATTTATATATAAAATATACAACGTGTATTACTTTACTTAACTATTTTACATGCATACACTAACATCAAATAAATTACCTTGCTTCTGTTCACAGTTCACAGCACAGCCTAAAATGAGTTGGAGCATCCTTCCCAGCTCTGCGGCATCAGAATGCTCCCCAATAAGGTTCACATCAGGGAGAGTAAAGTCATTAATTTGCTGCCCTAAAATCTGGACAGAGATAAAAACATGAGAATTGCATTTACATCTATATGACCAAATAAAATACTTGATAGAGATTAGTTTGTCAGAAACTCACTGTTAAGAGCAGAGCAGTTAAGCCAATCTCACTCCCAGTTTCTACTTATACCTCCCATACATAAATTATAACGATCCTGAGTCACAACAACTTAGTCCCTCATCTGGTATGTGGTATGCACACTGAGCAAAGAAACTGAGTACTACTGACCCCTCCACCTCCCCCAGAAAGACTGGATGTGCACTCTCCAGAGAAGTAGAGCCTGAGAGCTTCTGAACCGGGGGGCACCAGAAAGAGCAGAAGTTAAGTATAGGTTCATGCCCACAACAGGAAGACTCCCCTGGCCACCTTCACTCCATTTGACTCTAAAATACTGATAACAAGACACCCACATAAGGCAAGAGAATGGAGGCTTCCTTCATGGGGAAACTGGCCCCAAATGAAATGACACATTTAGACAAACGGGTAGGTTTCTGTCTGATAACCCTACAGTGAAAAAAGAAGATCCTAAAAGCACAGAAGCAGGATGAATGTGGCTGTAGTGTGACGGGTAAGGAAAGAGCAGGGAAAGAGGAGGTGAGAAGGGTCATGTGGCATCCGGTGGCTCCTGGTAAGAAGTATGGATCTGATTCTCGATGCGACAGGAAACCATGGAAGATGACTTGGAGGATGAGAGTGACATAAATTCTGCTTTTTAAAACTCATCCTGGCTTGAGAGTGGAGAATAGATTGTAGTGGGGCAGAAGTGAAATCAGGGCACACTCCGCGAGTTATCTAAGCAAAAGCTGGTGATGGCTCGGTACAGGGCGGTGGCAGCAGAAACAGAGAAAACTGTATTTTGGAGATTTAACTATAGGTCTTGCTGATGATATCAAATGAAGGAAGGACTGCAGGATGATCTGTAGGCTCTGGACTTGAATAGTAGGGCAGACGGCAGAGTCACATACTGAGGTGAAGACAGATAACATAAGTACAGATGTAGGTTTAAATGCATGTAAGCTTGTTGGGAAAAAACAGTAAGGAAATAACACAGGTGTTTCTAGGCTATGTTGTGTCCACTTGGTATCTGTGATCATGAAATTTAAAGTAAAACTAGCTCCACTGCCTGATTTTTTTCCCCAGCGATATCCTGACCGTTCTGATGCAGACTCAGAGGATAAACTGAGTTAATCTAGGGGTAGGGGTTTGCCAAGGAATAAAATGGAAGTAGGCACAGGACTTGTTAGTAACTATGCATGGACTCTAAACCACCTTCACGAGTAAGGGAAGAAAGGAGAGAGTTAATGGACAGCAGAAGGGAAAGTTTAACATAAATGAGTAACCACTCACAAACTATCCATATTATAGTGAAAAAGATTATCTAGTAAACATCTAATAGCTGGTGAACCAGCTTTTTGAACCAACATCTTAGAGGCCATACAATGGAAGACAAAGCTGATTATTAAGGTAATATTTCCTTTACTTGAAACTACTGTAAAATATTGTAAGATTAAACTGTCCTACAGTAATACTTCCAAGCAGAATGATAAAAACTCCTTACCTCATGATTGTAATCCAGGATTCCTTTCAAAATTTTCTTTAAATTGCTTATCTGTTTAAAGAGAGAGAAAACAACTGGGTAAAAGGCAATCACAGATGAAAATATAGTTTAACCTAAAAAATTTCTGAACCAACTAATCATTCTTGTTAATCATAAAGTAAACATAAAAAATAAAATTCAACAGTACATTTGAATTACTATCATAAAAAAGACTATCAGTGGCTTAATTTATTTGATCTAAGAGATTTATAAAGCAAGTTAAGTATCCAATTATGTCAAATTTTCAATGTTCTAACCACGCTGACAAAAATTCGAAGGTAACTGAACAAGACCTAACAGTAAGATTAAATTATGTAGATCTTCTGCATGGAAAAAAAAAGGTATCATCCTTAGTGAAGACTTGAGCTCAGTGCTGTTTTACCCAGAAAAGTAGAGTTGCATCTTACATAGAGGGTAAGTTCTAAATTTAGAGCATTAAACAAAAATTACAGTCAAAATTACCCTTGGATATCTCCTAACACAACCTACAAATCAGGTAGTCACCTATGAAGGAATGTCTCCAAATTCCTCCATGGTCAGAAAAGTGTTTTCCTTCAGCTGAGACCAAGTAAATATTTAGGAGCCATAAGGTTAAAAAAATACTACTACATCTTTAAATGTTAGTATAACGCTCAGCATTGCCAAGATACTTGTGCTATAAAAAGCATCCCAGTAACAAGACAGGATGAGGGACCAACACTCACTCAACTCCAGAGCGCAGGCTCCTGGTCATGTTACCTGGGTGAAATCACGGGCAGAATTACCTGCACTATTTACTGTAAACTTATTTTCTTCCCTTTTTTTTTTTGACCCAACTCATCTGGCTGAATTTGCGTTAAGTCATATGCACACACGATATGATGCTGTTGATCATCTACCTGGCTGTCCCCAGGTAGATGCTCATAGTTGAAGATGTCCTAGGACAGAAGACTGTAGGAGTGATAGCTATCAAATAAAAGATTCCACAGCAGGGGGATCCAGTGGTTAATCAAAGACATACTTATTTTTAAGGGAGAAAATAAACTGAAAACTTCATATTAAAAAAAAAAAAGAATCTCATAAATAAAACTAACATGTTTTGTATGCCTAAAAATTTGGAGACACGGAAAATATATAATATACTTTCTCTGGTTCTAAGGTGTTCAATTTTTCGTATTATAACATTTTAAATTAGAAAGTCTTAAAAAATCAATGTTTTCACTTAAAATGGTAGTTTATTCTCCACTGAAAAAAGCTACAAATCTTATAATTAATCAATGGTATCTTAAAATCAATCTTAAAATTGAAGAAATATAATTGAAGAAACATAATATAGGATAAAATATAGAGAATAGGAATACAAATCGGAATGGTTACTTTCAGTTCAGAATATTGAGTACAATAAACATTTCGCTTTCTCTCTGTTATTGCCTTTGCCACCCTAGTGACACTGAAGACTGTGTGGATTTACGCGCACACTGTGTGCACGGGCGTGGGACACGCAACTCCCTCTTGTGAAGCAGCAGCAAACATAAGCTGATTTAGCAGCAAGACTTTAAACAGGTTATAACGTTAAAAAGCCATCACTTTAATTGCCTATTCTTGAAAAGTTATTTAGAAATTAAATAGCATCCATTCACTCTAGCTTAGTGAAAAGGAGGAATTAGATTTTGGCAGACCCAATATCTAGTCAGTGAATAAATATTTTCCTCAAACATGTGTTTTATGGGGAAATATAAAGACAAACCACGCTTAGCTCATCTTAAGTCCAGGGGTTTCACACGCTCACACACTCGCACTTCGGAGTCCCTACCAATGTGTATTAAAAATAAATGGCTCCAGAGTTTTCCAAGCTGCCAGTCATGACCACAGATCAAGGTGGTGTAAAGAAACTATAGAGATGGAGAACAAGTCAGCGGTGGCCAGGGGTTCGGGTGAGGGTGGTGTGGTTGATGGGATAGAGGCACCACCGGACACCTGGCAGGGATGGGGCAGCCTGCATCGCCGTTATGTGAGTCTACACGCTGACAGGGCCACACAGAGCGGCGCACACACACAGAAGAGTGTGTGCAGAACGACTGAACTGTGAACACGCTGTGGATCGTATCCACGTCAGTTCCCCAGGTTTGCTACTGCATTACAGTCACACAAGATGTTAGCCCTGGAGAAACGAGGGGAAAGGTATGTGGAACTTCTCTATACATTTCTTTTCCCAACCCCTGTGAATCTATAATCGTTTCAAACTATAAAGTTAAAAAAATAATTTAGAGATGGGTTGCAATCTATATTTCAAAAACTAAACTAAAAACATTACTGCATTAAGTAAGGTTAAAAACGTATTCAACTATTCAGGAACATGCAGTTAGGCGGGTGGGAGGCTGCAGTGTAAACTGTGTTTCTCACTGTGGGTTTCCATCAAAGATGCTTGAGCAATACCGAAAAATAAGGCTACTAGGAAGGAAATAAAAATAATCCATTCTCTGAGTGTTCTGGACACAGTTAATAATGATCAGTATTTTCTCATTATTAATAACAACACTAGCAACTAACATTACTGTCCTAAGTACATTATATGTATTAATTCATTTATCTCTGTGAGGTAGATCCTATCACAATCCCCATTTTACAAACGGGAAAACTCAGGCACTGAAAGGTTAAAGACTTTCCCAGCGGCTGTGAGCGGCTGTGAGCGGCTGGGCTGGGATGTGGACACAGGCAGTCTGGCTCTGAAGCCCGAGCCCTCAGTCACTATGCTTTACCGACTCAGACTATATCTTGGTGAGCAATTCCAGGTTACCCCAATCTTCAATTCTAGATTATTTCACCAAAGGCTATCTAAGTTTCTAAAGCTCACTAGACGCATCAGAGCAAAAGTCAACAAGTATTATATACACCCAAGTAAAAGGTTAATTAACAAATAGGAAAATAAAAAGAAAATACCTTTAGCCTCCAATTATCTCCTACTTCAGTTTTAATTCTGTTTAGCCAATTTTCATCAAAATACGCAGGATCTCTGCAAATAAGAAAAAGCTAGCATGTTAATATCATGTAGCTTTCAAGCTAAAACAAAACCAAACACACACACACAATTGAAACCCATCCTGTATTATCACTTAACTGCAGCAAAAAAAGGTATTTGACACACATGAGCCACAAAATAATACATGTACATGAGATCGAATGCAATTACAGTAGAAATCTCTAAAATCAACTGTTATCACTCATTAAAAAACATAATTTTATCAAAAGCAAGCTAAAAGGTGAAAAGTGATAACATACAATTAATACATGTTTTTCAAATTATACACTAATCTGGAATTAACATAATTAGTAGATACCATGCTAATATCTAAAAACAGTCAAAATCAATGACAATTGTTTTATAAAGGCAAAAGACGTATATTAGGAAGAAGGTTAAAATAAGCTTTTCAGTTAATATTTCAATGACTTCCATCACCTACTACTTCAAAGGTCACCAATAATGTTATTAAAATTTCAGTTTCTTTAAATAATATAAACAGAGAACCTGTTTATGTAATACTAGACATTAGACAAAGTTGGATACCATTTCTGTTTGCAGAAGCCCTAAATCTAAGATAACACTGGTGTGGACAAACAAACTGAAACAAGGATAGATGCTGAATATACTTATGCTTATTTTTCTTAGGAAAACCTCCAAAACTTCTATAAACACGAGAAAGAAAAAAAAAAAAAGGTTTTATCCTGGTATGATAGTCACTTTAAAGTTCCTGAAATCGATGCTCTAAAAAATTAAATTATTTGTTCAAGACCACAGACTGAACACCTCTGTCCTGCTCCAGCAAGTGCCAAATCCAAAGATCTTTTCATTACACAACAATCTCCGTTCACTCAGAAAACATAATGGCAACAAGGGAAATATGTTAGGGAAAAAAAAATCTACATTTCAACTTACACTGTCACTCAGACTGATAAATACAACCGCTACTAAATTTTGGTCAAATTATCTTTAAATAAAGTAACCTGCTATGTAGAATTTTAAAAATTTATTATTAAGAAAAATATACATATTTAGGCATAAGAATTTTTTGGTAGAATTTTTTAAATTAATTGCTTGATTAATTAATTAATGGCTGTGTTGGGTCATCGTTGCTGCGCGCAGGCTTTCTCTAGTTGCAGCGAGAGGGGCTACTCTTCGTTGCAGTGCACAGGCTTCTCGTTGCAGTGTCTTCTCTTGTTGCAGAGCACGGGATCTAGGTGTGTGGGCTTCAGTAGTTGTGGCTCGCGGGCTCAGTAGTTGTGGCTTGCGGGCTTTAGAGCACAGGCTCAGTGATTATGGTGCACGGGCTTAGTTGCTCTGTGGCATGTGGGATCCTCCCGGGCCAGGGATTGAACCCGTGTCCCCTGCATTGGCTGGTGGATTCTTAACCACTGTGCCAACAGGGAAGTCCCAAGGCATAAGTATTTACGAAAAAAGTTACAGCTAAGTTTTCTCTGTAGAAATCTATTAGGATTATTTTTGAAGCCTGTATCCAAGTTAACATGTTAACTTTATTGTCTATTTCTCTACTCTTAAATTTTTAAAAATTGAGATATAATTCACATACCATACAACTCACCCATTTGAAATACACAATGCAATGGATTTTAGTACATTCACATCACCACAATCTAATTTTAGAACCTTTCCACCTTCCCCAAAGAAATCCTGTATCCACTGGCTGTGACTCCCATTTCCCTCTCTCCAGCCCCTAGAAATTACTAATCTACTTTCTGTTTTCATGGGCTTGCCTATTTTGTACATTTCATATAAATGAAATTATACACTGTGTGGGGTCTTTTGTGTCTGGCTTCTTTCACTCAGCATGCTTTTAAGGTTCATCCATGTTGTAGGACGTGTCACCACTTCATTCCTTTTTATGGCTCAAAAACATTCCATTTATGGATACACTACATTTTGTTTATCTATTCATCAGCTGATATACATGCTTCATGTGGGTATGTTCCTAGGAGTGGAATTGTTCGGTCCCATAATAACTCTGTTTAACATCTGAAGTGTGACCAAACTGTTTTCCAAAGCAGCTGTACCATTTTACATTCCTACTAGCAACACGTCAGTTCCAATTTTTCCACAGCCTGTCAACATTTGTTATTATCTCTCTAAAAAGTTATGCTCATCCTAGTGGGTGTGAAGTATTATATTATCTCACTGTGTTTTTTAAAAAAAATTTTTATAATTCATTTATTTTTATTATTTTTTGGCTGTGTTGGGTCTTCGTTGCTGCGTGCGGGCTTTCTCTAGTTGCGGCGAGTGGGCCTCTCATTGCATTGGCTGCTCTTGTTGCGGAGCATGGGCTCTAGGCGTGCGGGCTTCAGTAGTTGTGGCGCACGGGCTCAGCAGTTGTGGTGCACGGGCTTAGTTGCTCCGTGGCATGTGGGATCTTCCCAGACCAGGGCTCGAGCCCGTGTCCCCTGTGTTGGCAGGCGGATTCTTAACCACTGTGCCACCAGGGAAGTCCCTCTCACTGTGGTTTTGATTTGCACTTCCTTAATGACTAACAACGTTGAGCATCTTTTCATGTGCTTATTGGCCACCTGTATATCCTCTATGGACAAGTCTATTCAGTCTTTCCTGTTAAACAACTGAATTGTCTTTTTATTATTGAGTTGTGAGAGGTTTTTTTTTTTTTGGTTTGTTTTTTTTTTTGTTTTTAGTATTCAGGGTAAAAGCCCCTTATCAGATATAAGATGTGTAAATAATTTCGCACATTCTGTGAGTTATCTTTTCACTTTCTTGATGGCATAATTTGCAGCACAATGGTTTTTAATTTTTGATAACGTTCAATTTATCTATCTTTTGCTGTTGGTATTATATCTAAGAAGGTTTTGCCTAATCCAAGGTCAGGAAGATTTACTTCTATGTTTTCTTCTAAGATTCTCACAGCTTTAGTTTTAAATTGAAGTTATGATCCATGTGCATAGTGTACGTAAAGGGTCTAACTTCCTCCTTCTGCATGTAGATATTCATACCCATCCATTTTTGTTTTAAGCTTCATCTAGCTTCTTTAGTCAAGGTTCTTTTGTTGTTAAGTCAGAGAAACTAATTTGAGCAAAACTGTGCAAAAAAAGGGAACTTACTGGAAGACCACTGATGTATGTTATGGTACATAAAGATAGCTGGGCCTCCTTGAGTAGTGAAATAAGGATCTGGAAAGCTGTTAAGAATCCAGACAGTACTCCCCTTCTGACTTTCACCTTTGCTTCTGCCCATCTATTTGTTTTCTCTCTGAAGACCAACTTTTTCTGTTTCTCCACAGAAGAGAGCCACACACACACTCCAAGTCTTCACCATGCCAGTTCAAGAAGATAGTTTTGAAGACCAGCCATCACTCAATCCCAATTCTAAATTCCCAGGAAACTCCAAATAATACAGCTAGAGTCTGTTTTTCATCCCTAGTCCGATTGTATGTGACCAAAAGGATGGAGAGCCACAAGTAGGACACCCACAACTTCAGGTTTCAGAGAAAGGGACTCCTGTAAACTGGGCAGAGAACCCCCCAAAAGTGTCCTCTTTGCTTAAAACCTCTTGTGAAAATAGATAATGCAAAGAAAAACAACTTAAGTGAATTCTACTGAGATATTAAAGAATTGTTATAAAAATAGCTCAGAAAGTAGAAAATATTCCATATTTTTAATAATCAAAAAAACTGTAATCTAAAAATCATAATCATTGCCAATCAAGTAATAGTCTTTCCAATCAAAAATGACAATCATAAGTAGGGCAATCTGTGAGTCTGGTGCTAAATGGGTGATGATTACCCAAAGCCAAAGGCACTGAACTTACTAGCTAAGTGGAAATTCAGGGCCACACAGCTGAAAGATACTTATATTTCAACAGGAAACCCCTTAACTTATAAAAAAGAATGCTTTAAAATGTCTAAGAGGGCTTCCCTGGTGGCGCAGTGGTTAAGAATCTGCCTGCCAATGCAGGGGACATGGGTTCAAGCCCTGGTCCGGGAACATTCCACATGCCGCGGAGCAACTAAGCAACCCTGTGCGTCACAACTACTGAGCCTGTGCTCTACAACCCGCGAGCTACAACTACTGAGCCCACATGCCACAACTACTGAAGCCTGCACGCCTACAGCCTGTGCTCCGCAGTAAGAGAAGCCACCGCAATGAGAAGCCCGTGCACCGCAATGAAGAGTAGCCCCCCGCTCGCCGCAACTAGAGAAAGCCTGTGCGCAGCAACGAAGACCCAATGCAGCCAAAAATAAAAAAATAAATTTATTTAAAAAAAAAATTAAAATGTCTAAAATTATATACTCTGAGAACTCCAAGATTATGGGATACTTCATTTACAACTTAGAGCAACACTTCTTATGAATCAAAGAACTCAGAAAAATCTGAATAAAGTATTTCAAACCAATCACTATGATACAGTTTGCTTCTTGCCTAAAAGATGACCACATCAAAGCCTCAGAATGTGCCTGAGCTGGATGGGAAGGCGACAAAAGACAGCCATTACCACCATGTACTCAGCACCAGTGACCTGCCAACCATGGAGCCAGGCACTCTGCGTTCACAGTGACACTGCCAGGAAGGTATCACTGTCCCCATGGTACACTGAGCAATATCAGACTCAGGAGTTAAGTAATTTCCCCAAGTTCAATCACACCGTTAAGTGGCAGAGTTGATGGTACTGTCGCTTTTGTTACAAGAGATCAGCAGAGTTCAACACGAAACTGGTCCTAGCAAACACCACCAAGGTCCTGTGGCTAATTCTCTCCTTCCTGCTCAGCCGTCTAGTCACAGAGAACAAAGACCCACATCGTTCAAGATGTTCTATGGTCAACAAGGGCAGGTGTCTGTCTCATTCACCACTGTCTGCCCAGCACTTCACGTCTGACGCACAGCAGTTCTCATTGATACCTGTGCACTGAAATACATTTGGAAGGTGATAGCACTTTTATTTAATAAGCTTCCAATCTGCTACTTGGGCGGAACACAGCAAGAATAGTAGTCCACAAATCT